TCAATACTAATGTCTAAATCAAAATTACAAAAAAAATCTCTGTTCTTTGTACTTTTAAGATATTGTTAAGACGCAAAGCATTACAACTAAATCAATGCTGCATAACCAAATTAATGTCTTTTCAACTTTCATCTAGAATATATTCTGCCTCGTGTGATGTCGATATCATCATGTTGTGCAAGCAAAATGCCATTAAATAATTTGTGTATAACGATATCACAACCCATTACATCCGTGATAACGCCATAGAAGTATGCAGACATACAGGCTATAGTTCCCTTGATGAGCTTTGCCGTTTTCAGCTGATCTATTACAATTATAGTCCTACAGTCTTCTTATGACCAAGTATTTTTCACTGATTTCGTATTGTAGAGTCATTAAAATTCGTGGTGTCTCAGTATTCGAGGAATTTATTGAAAAAACCTTCCTCCACGAAATTACTTCCTCCACGGATTTAAATACAAAAGTTTCCAAGTCTTATCATCATGATAATTTTAACGTCCCCGCGAATCCGTAACATTTTATCCCTATGACTCCAGGCCTGGCCAACGACTGTCTTCAGGAGTATAGGGGGTTACGGGAGATGCAGGTGGGCAAAATGGCCATAAAGCAAAATAGCACTTAGTTTTGAAGATCTTATAATGGATTATTGTTGAAATTTTTAACCAGTAAAGTTTTATTAGACAGGGAAAATATAGACGTTTATTACTTTGTTTGAACAGTTTCGTTGTTAAGCAAGATAACCTGTGGCTGGACAACACGATTTTTCTGACGTTTTCGCATGATCTGTATAATGAGAAAGGCTAACCCGTTAAAAACTCCACCCATGTTTGTACACGTTATCACTAAGTATTCCATCACCATGGGAACATCTCCAAAAAATGATATGATACCGTTCGCTGAGATTGGTGTCCATTGTACCACGAATGCCGTGACGAATAGCGTCATTATTTTGGCGGCGTTGTGACTGTGTCGCCAGCTTTGGGACTGTTTTGTCAACTGAAGTTGACCGATTTCCCATCGAACGCGACACCAGATGAAAACGTAAAGAGAACACGTGACTACCAGAATGAGGCTCACAGGGACTGTTGCCATCGCCATTAGAGCAATCTTTCCAGGAACACCACAGCTACAAGAAAACAAATACTAGTATTCAGAAGAATGAAATAATGGAAGAGATGTACATTACAGCTCTTTGCCAATATAACACTGAATAGCTTCCGACTACGATTTAGGAACAGCCGAGAAGGGATTTATGGAAGTTAGTTGAAAAAAACTTTTAACAAATCAAATTATCGGCTCCAAAATTAATATCAAATCATAGAAGAGGTTGTACACACCAAAATAAGAAGAACTTACAAAGAACCTGTAGGTCCAAGCTGGTCTAAGAAAGCGGCTAAAGAAGCTTCAACTGTTGGAATCCCGAACATAAAGACCAACAGTCTCCAGTCGTATACCCCAAATTTTACGGGCTTTTCCAAAATAACAAGACTAAAGGAGTTCAATGCAATGACCAACACCAAGAGCGCTTGCGCAGTGGTGAACACAACAATCCAAAAAGCGTAGAAAACACAGAGGCCTTTTGGATACACGTGGGTCGTGGTCACCACCATCTGCACGTGGTCCAGTACGTGTGTCAGGTTAAATAGACCATCACATGTCGCCAGGTAAACTACAAACCTATCACTGACTGACCATTGGAAGAACGACTTGAAGAAATGAGATCTAAAGGAGACCCAAAAGATGGCGGCGACACAAGACAAACTGGCGCCAATGCTGACGAGAGCAGTCACGTGGTATGAGTAGAATCGTCCGTCCTCCAGACCCATCACTGGGATATCATCTTCAGGTTCACTCAAGTTTGGCATCATCGGTTATGTGATTACTAGTACAGCTGTATATATTTTAGCCTGATAAGCTTTTCCTTTTCAGTAACTTGTATACATGTACTTCATTTAACTTGTACTCCACAACATTTTTAAATCCCTTCAAAAAAGAAACCCAATCATCTAACAATCTTGATCCTACCAAAAATAATTTCTTGGTTTATAAGGAGATCATTTTTGTCAGACTCTGAGGCCTTGTAGACCATTCGCATCCCAAATCACTGATCATTGGTGATCGAAATAATAGAAAAACTTATTTCCTCAGTCAGTTAGTATGATTTAAATTCTGACACAATGAAGGTACCAGTAAATCTTCGTGCTCTGGGCCGCGTAGTTTTATATCCATGTAGATTTCTACTCAATTTGAATAATCAAAATCTTCCAACAAATAATTCTGGATTGACTGGTTTAAAATTAAAAATCCAGCTTCCCTTTCTCTCTGTGATGGTGTTATGGAAGTACATGTTAATCCTTCAACTTATTCATTGACGAGATGTTCAACCAGAACGATGTTATAAGCTGATCAATTTTTGTGAAAATATGAACAACCTTACATGTCAATGGTTAATTAGGTTTCAAATTACATTAAAGGTAAATTAGGACATTAAAGAAGGCTGTATTTTCTGAACGGAAAATTGTCTTAGAGCCATCTGAGCACGTCTTACAAAGCTAATTAGCGACTGATAATTTGTAATTACAGTAAGAATATGGATTTGTGTTTAACCAAACTCATACACTGGCTTCCACTATGTGCTACAAGAGAGAGAGAGAGAGAGAGAGAGAGAGAGAGAGAGAGAGAGAGGGAGAGAGAGAGAGAGATGAGAGACAAGAACATCATGGTGATAGATATCTGAAATCAACAAAAAAGCCAAGCATCAGACAGGGGATCATTGACAAACCTGGCCCAGGATAGACAAGTGTGGGGGTTTGTTCTTGCCTCCACGGAGGCGATTAAGTGTGTGGGATTTGTTCTGTCCTTCACGGAGGCGATTAAGGGGGGGGGTGTGGTTCTGCCCTTTTCGAAACCCTGCCCTGATACGCCGATGGAGTTATCAATATTGTCATTATTGTGGCATTCCCTTTAAAATCGATTGGATTTTTTTTAAAAGTCCGTCATAATTTATGATGTTGTCATAATGTAATCTGCCGTACACACCACAGGGTGTAAAGGACAATGATGTCGACGACGACAAATATGATGATGATGATGATGACAAATTATTAGATTTTTTTAACATTTTGAGAGTACCTCCATTCATTTTGCATAAATGGATATTCGTGGACTAACGTACGACAACTGTGTTAATGTTACTAATATAACATTCATTTGTAAAAATAAATATAAACCGATATGTTTTCCGTATTTTTCAATTTTTTAAAGAAATATTTTCATATTCATTTAACATTATATGGAAGTGATTATTTTTCATACACCATTCTTGTAAGCGATGTGCAAAATAATAAATAATTGTGAACAATTTATGACATTTAAATGTAATCCCGGCATTGCGTGTCAATCTAGGTTTGGCACATTGGTTTATTGAATAAAGTTTTACAAAATAATATTGATGGAAAATGTTTTAAGATTATAACCAACATGTATAAAGGTATAAAATCAAAAGTAGTAGTGAATGGAATAAGTTCAAAAATATTTGAATGTAATATAGGAGTTCGACAAGGGGAGAATTTGTCACCATTTTTATTTTCATTGTACTTGAATGACCTTGAGGAATTTTTATCTGGAAACAAAGCAAAAGGTTTATCTTGTTTGTCAGAAAAACTCATGAGAGAACTAAATCTCTACTTACAGCTTTTTGTATTATTATATGCTGATGATACCATTTTGTTATCTGAAAACCCAGATGATTTTCAGTACATGCTTAATACTTTTTCTAAATATTGCAAGAAATGGCATCTTAAGGTTAATAGTAAGAAAACAAAAGTCGTAATATTTGGTAAAGGGAAAAACAATGTTTCTTTTACATTTGAAGGCTCCAAGCTTGATATAGTTGATAACTTTAAATATTTGGGTGTTACTTTTTGTAAAAGTAATTCTTTTAATTTAAATACTAAAGAATTATATGATAAAGCTATTAAAGCTATGTATGGTGTTATTGGTAGATGTAGAAAACATAACTTATCAATTGATTGTAATTTAGACATGTTTGATAAAATTGTCAAACCAATACTCTTATATGGGTGCGAAATATGGGGTTTTCACAATACTAAACTGATAGAGAAATTACACTAAAATTTTGTAAACATATTCTGAGCCTGAAAACATCAACACCAAACTTTATGGTGTATGGAGAACTTGGTAGACACCCTTTATTAATTGATATCAAAGTTAGAATGATCTCATTTTGAGGTAAACTCATTAATGCTCAGTGCTCTAAATTATCAGCAAAGCTTTTATGTGCATTGAAATTATATAAGAATCCATGGTGTGACTTTGTACAGAAAATTTTAAATGAATGTGGATTGACTTATGTCTGGTATGAAAATTCAATTAATATATCTTGGCTTAAAAATAAAGTATATACCATTCTTTTAGATCAGTTTAAACAAACATGGTTTAGTGAAGTGCAAACTTCCCCTAAAGGTTTGAACTATAGAATCTTTAAAAAATCATTAATTTTTGAAGACTATTTGTTGAATTTGCCTCCAAAACAATCCAAAAAATATTGTTTATTTAGAACTGGGAATACAACATTACCAATTGAGACTGGTAGATGGTTTAACATCCCTAGAGAAAACAGAATTTGTAAATTATGTAATAGCAGTGACATTGGGGATGAATTTCACTACTTATTTAATTGCACTGATGTGTCTATAAAGAAAGCAAGAGTCATGTATTTGTCAAAATATTTTTATTTGAATCCAAATATTTTGAAATTTGAAATGCTTTTTAATGTAACCAATACCTATCAACTCTGCAAGATTTGTAAATTGTTAAACATTATAATTGAGAGAGTTAGCTCTCTTGGTTGATATTACTCTGTTATCCTTTCTTCATGCATGTAATATTTCATGTTCATTGTACTGTATATACTGTATCTTCTTTTCACTGTTTTGTCAGTTATGAGAATAAAGTTCAAGTTCAAGTTCAAGTAGGTAACTGGACTTCCTTGAATATAATTGATGAATTATCGATTGTATTTTAAACATGTTTAGGGCAATTGACCAGGACATATAAATGTGTGTCATTATAAGATTAATATCGATGGACAGTACTCTATGTGTGTATTGTGCTAATGTATTACAAAGTTTGAATGGAACGTTTAGAGATATCTGTAGAACGTTGATTGCCATACGATGACACGCCCATTTCTTTAGATCGAAAAAAAAATCGGTCAAATGTTTCATTCGAATACCTGTGGAACAGGTATTCTATAAATATAAAAGCCAATCAAATTGACTGTCTACGTATACAACGTATAAGCACGTGTTCGACAGATACATGTGTTATGGCAACTTTAATAAACGTGATAACTTCATTATTATGTACAAATTCGAGGCAATACGTGTATTTTACATAGGCCTGGACTCTCTAACTCTCTCTTCTGACTTATAATTTTAAAATCTCTATTTCAGTGTAACACATGTTGCTAGTCGCAAAAATGGGGAGTTCAAGAATTACGACGAATATTTCTTATTCGTTTCTAAAGAAATGGGCGTGTTATTATGTAGAATTGACATTCGATAAGAAACACTCAAATATTCCATTCAAACGAAAAACATACCACTTCAATGCACTTCATTGTAGATAATAATTACATTCAATTTACAGTCAAGAAATGGAATCTGAAGACTAACATTAAGAACGTGCATTTTAGTGCCCATGGACATTATACAGCTGGTATATTGGTCATAAAACTACTCCACTCCCACCCAACCTCAACACCCACAACGGCACGTTTAAAATAATATATATCAACTAAAAACATAAAAATAGGTAAACCCCAAATTGACCTCTGGTTTGGGGGTGTCTTACATTCATGTTCGAGTGTTTCTTATCGAATGTCATGATCAATTGTCACATATTGACACGCCTTTTTCTTTAGAAACAAGAGAGAAATATATTCGTCGTAATTCTTTTGAACTCTCAATTTTTTGCGACTATAGCAACATGAGTTTTACTGAAATGGAGATTTTAAAAGTTAGAAGAGAGAGATTAGAAAGTCCCAGCTTTTGTAAAACACGTAAATTGCGAAGAATTTATACATTATAATGAATTTATCATGGTTATTGAAGTAACCATAACACACGTATCGGTCGAACACGTGCTTATAATTTATTATTATAATTAATTATAATTAATTATAATTAATAAGTAATTATTCGTTGTTTATGTAGATCGTCAATTTGATTGGCTATTATATTTATGAAATACCTGTTCTATAGGTATTCGAATGAATCATTTGACCGATTTTTTCGTTCTAAAGAAATGGGCGTGTCATCGTGCGACAATCAAAGTTCTAAAGATAAGGTTATAACACATTAACACGATACACACATAGAGTACTATCCATCGATTAATCTTATAATGACACATATTTATGTGTCCTGGTCATTGCCCTAAACATGTTTAAAATACAATCGATAATTCATCAATTATATTCAAGGAAGTCCAGTTACCTAAATATGACGCGCAATGGCGGGATTATATCTACATGTCATAAATTGTTCACAATTGTTTATAAATTTGCACATTGCTTACAAAAATGGTCTATGAAAAATAATCACTTCCATATATTGTTAAATGGATATAAAAATATTTCTTTAAAAAATTGAAAACTATGGAAAACATATCGATTTATATTTATTTTTACAAATGAATGTTAGTTGTATTCATTAGTAGAATATTAACACAGTTGCCGTACGTTAGTCGAAGAATATCCATTTATGCAAAATGTAAAGAGGTACTCTCAAAATGGTAAAAATCTAGTAATTTGTCATCATCATATTTGTCGTCGTCGACA